TTCAATTTGTAACAATGAAAATACATCCTGCATATCAGATATTTACATGACGATTCATAACAGTAGCAACGAAAATAATTTTATGATTGGGGGTCACCACAACATGAGGAGCTGTATTCAAGGGTCGTGGCATTAGGAAGGTTGAGAACCACTGCTCTAGAGGCTGAAGTGCAGGGCCGTTGAGGCCTGCTGCTCCCACTCTGGCTTTGGGTGGAGGGCAGCCTGCATGCCTCCAGAAGCAGGGGTTAAATGTTAATTTGGGTGTTAGTCACCAGGATGGCAGGTAGGGAGGGGTTAAACTCTCCAGCCTACCAAAGCGCAGGTCCCTTACCATGTGGGAAAGTGTGAGGTGTCAGAGCTGGGCTGAACAGTAGAAATACTACACAGGCTATGGTATCATTTAAAATTGTCCAGTAACCACATTTTAAAAAAGTGAAAAATAACAGATGAAAGTAATTTTCATAATATATTTTATTTAAGCCAATGTATCCAAAATGGTACCTATCATTCAAGAGGTCATCAATAAAAAATGTCTAGATGCTTTATATCACTATCATTTTTGACATTAAGTCTTCAAGATCAAGTATATAGTTGACATTCAGAGCATATCTCAGCTGGGACCAACCCCTGGTCAGGGATAGCATGGCTCTTTTTAAGAGGTCAAGAGAACAACAGGTCTGGGGATTACATTAGAACCACCTTGGGGGAGGTGTCTAAAATTACAGGTGTTGCCCTGACCAGTTTGGCTCAGTGGATAGAGCATCGGGCTGCAGACTGAAGGGTCCCGGGTTCGATTCCAGTCAAGGGCATGTACCTGGGTTGCGGGCACATCCCCAGTGGGGGGTGTGCAGGAGGCAGCTGATCGATGTTTCTCTCTCATCAATGTTTCTGGCTCTCTATCCCTCTCCCTTCCTCTCTGTAAAGAATTAATAAAATATATTTAAAAAATAAAATAAAATACAGGTGTCATGAAGGGCTCGGGGGATATGTATTTAAAAAATAAAGTCCCCGGGGCCTCTGAGGTGGAGTCAGAATTGAGCTATTCACTAAAGAACTTAGTCAACAAAAACTCTCTCCATACTTCAGTCTGCAAAATGGGCCCATAATAACACATTCTGCCAAATTGATTAGGTTCCTAGAACATGGGGAAGTGCCTGATGCTTGGTGGCGTGGCTTATTTAACAGGAATTTTACTTTTCTTAGCGGTACATTAAACAAGTATCTTCCTCTTATTTTTTAAGATAATTTAATTAATTAAATTATTTATTGATTGTTAATCCTCACCCGAGGATTTTTTCCATTGATTTTTACAGAGTGAGAGAGAAGGAAGGGGAGAGAGGGAGAGAGAGAGAGAGAGAGAGAGGTGAGAGGCACACGGATTGGTTGCCTGCCACACGTGTCACCACCAGGGCCAGGGATGAACCTGCAGCCCAGGTATGTGCCCTTTGCCAGGAATTAAATTTGAGACCCTTCAGTGCATAGGCCAGTGCTCTAACCACTGAGCACCAACCAGGGTAAAACAAACATCTGATGAAATGCGGTGACACTTGCATCATAAAGCCAGAGCGAGGATTAGATGAGTAAATGAGTCTAAAAGTTCTTAGAATAGCCCTGGCCAGTGTGGCTCAGGTGGTTGAGCATCATCCCATGGACCAAAAGGTCGCTGGTTTGATTCCCAGTCAGGACACATACCCAGGTTTCAGGTTTGATTCCTGGTTGGGGTGTGTGCGGGAGGCAACCGATCAATGCTTCTCTCTCTCTTTCTCACCCTTCCTCTCTCTCTCTAGAATCAATAAAAGCATTAAAAAAAAACATTTAAAAGGCCTTAGAACAGCGCAAGACAGAGGAAGTGTTCAATACATTTTGGAAGCTGATAATGATGATTATTACAGTTATTATTATTTAAAGTGTTGGCTGTGCTGATCCGGTTTGGCTCAGTGGATAGAGCGTCGGCCTGCGGACTCAGGGGTCCCAGGTTCGATTCTGGTCAAGGGCATGTACCTTGGTTGCGGGCACATCCCCACTGAGGGGCGTGCAGGAGGCAGCTGATCGATCTCTCTCATCGATGTTTCTGGCTCTCTATCCCTCTCCCTTCTTCTCTGTAAAAAAATCAATAAAATATATATT